AGACTTATTTTATATATAGACTATTAATAGTTAAACATACTAATGTCTTAATATATAAAAATGTCTACATGCACCAACCTTCTAACATAAGGTGTTTTTTTTTTAAATTTCTACCAATTTATGTATACATACTAACAATTTAATTTTTTCTGGGCTCACCCCCAGACATACATGCTCAACTACATGCCGGAACCTATGAAATCAGTATGGACAGAGCAAGTTACAAAAAGCATTCTCCTCCCCACTGAGACCCAACACATTTAAGATGAAGAATTTCCAGATCAGGAAAGTTATATTGGGGGTGGGGATTTAAGCCTTTAAACTTCACTGTGCTTCCTTCAAAAGCTGCGGTTTTTATTTCCAACATTTATTTAAATCCAAAAACACTTCTCCTCCATGCTGAACTAGCCTCCCTGGGTATCCGGGATTAGGAAGGGCTGGAGAGGGGACCTAGCTTTTCCTAGGCGGACTTGACCCTTCCCTCATCTCCGAGTAGGAAACTATTCGCTTGATTTCGTTGGCTATTTACACCACCCACTCCAACGTGAAGAAACGTGAAGTTTCTTACAATGAGGTCACGACACGATTAAGGACAAGAGTAAGCCAATGTAAGGGATAACCTAAAACGGCGAGGCTTCCCCAACGTACTAGCGAAGTTAAATCGTGCACGGATGATGCGACCTCGTCGACTGACGAAACGTCTGCAAGCAAGCAACCGAGCTCAGAGAGCCCCAAGGACCCCACAGTCCAACCCCGAGCTACACATACTCGCTCCTACTGAAAGTTAAATCAGCCCAGCTGAGATCCGGGGCAGCGGCTTCTAGTCGGATTGCGCCGCCGAGGTCGAGGAGAGCCGTACCTGTACAGCACGTAGCCAGTGGCGTCCAAGGGCTCGCCGCACTCCAGCAGCTCTCCGTCCCCCGCGGCTTCGGCTTCCGTCCCCAGCCGAGGAGCGCAGCCCTCCCTGCTTCCTCTGTCCTCCTCGTCCGCCATCATCATCATCAGCGCCTCCGCCCACCCCGGAAGAAACACAACCGGGGGATCCTATGAGAGGCAGAAGGCCAGCCTTCCCCGCACCATAGACTCGCAGCCGAGAAGCCTAGACCTCTCCCGAGGAAAAGGCTGCGCTGCGCAGAATGGCGGAAAAGGGGCTGGTCCCACGCGGAGGCAGCCGGTCGCTACGTTGCAAGGGAGGCCGGCCGGGCGGCTGGGAGCCTGCGCCGCACCTAGATGTAAAATCTCCGAGAAGGCGTCCCAGCGCCTTCCTCAAAAGCAATTCTGGGATTATGCTGACATCTCCCCTGGTGCATGCTAATCTAATTCCACCAGGCGAGATGTCAGACGCAGAGCAGCAAAATTCGGCAATCGCCGTTTCTTGGGTCTACCAGCCTCTCCGTAAAATCTTGGTGATGCTCTTTGGACCCGTTGGCAAACGCAACTTGTTCGTAGACTGCAGCGCTCAGCTATTGCGACGTCCTCCTGCTTATACTGACGGACTGCGCAATTACAGTAACCTTCACAATAAATACAGAAGTAGGTTCAGTCCCTGAGAAAAATAGTTGGGGGGAGGGGAGCTGCACAACATTATTTTCATCACTGCCAAAAATAAAAGAAAAGCCATCTAAGCTGCTAATTCTGCTGTATTTCCATGCATATGTCTGATTGTAAAAACACGACGTTATAAATCTTTCTGATATTTGGGAATAAAAACATTTCCCGTTTGGAAGGTGTGAGATCACTTTCTCTGTTTGCTCCCAAATTGGTTCTGGTAAAGATGTTCCAGCCATCCTTGGACTCTTCCAGATGGCTCAGATGAAGTGCTATCCCGGCATACAGAAAAACAAGGCCGCATAAGTGCTGCCCCCATTGCTGATCCCTATTCTGCAAAACTAATGGGGTGGCAATGGGTACCACACTCCAAAGTGTCAGATGGTCTCTTCCAGGGTCTTCATGTAGATCAGGGTTCCTCAACCTCAGCAACTTTAAGATGGATGGACTTCAACTGGCTGGCTGGGGAATTCTGGGAGTTGAAGTCCACCCATCTTCAAGTCGCTGAGGTTGAGGAACCCTGATGTAGATAATAGAAAGTAGGGGGAGAGGAAATAACTCCGGGGCACTCCACAAGCGAGCCTGAACATTTCCAGATAGTCCAAAAGGATACCATAGTGAAAGGCATGAAAGACCGCTGAGAGTTCTAATAGGACCAGAAGAGGTGGACGCTCCCCACTCAGGACTCAACAAGTCACCCCACAGCACATCCCATGCTGGTTCTGTCCCATGCCTACGTATGAACTGTGATTGAAAGGGTTAAATTTCATTCACGCTTCTAGGGATATGCCATGACGTTTTGCTTTGCCAGAGAACATACATTAAGCATGAAACTTAGTTTTGCTGCAGTATAACTTTTAAAGAGCATAAAGAAACCCCTCCCTTCAACTTACTTTCTTTCCTTCATTCCTGTATACTTTTTCAGGTTTGGCAGCTGAGTTGATACAAGACACTAAAGTAGACAGCCAGTAACTAATCACCACCGACAAGTTAATGCAAGATACTGGCACAGATGGAGGAATTCAGAAAAGAACACAAGGTCATCTTCTGTATGGAAAAATGGGGTAAAGAACCAATGAGAGGAATGGGTTCGGATATGAAAGATGGTGCCAAAGAAGATAATTTTGGACTCACCTCCAGTCCTGTTGGTTCCCCCTTTCTACAGTACTCCTCCTCCACCTGACCCTGTCTCTAAGAGAACAACCAAATATTATGGGACTTTACAATGGATGGTGAGAATTAAATACCAGCCTATAGTTTAAGTACATCAGGATGATCTTAAGAGACTCCTCCCCTTCCCCCCACCTTGCTTCCCACTTTTCCCTTCCCTCTTTCTCTCTCCCTTTCCTTAGGCTGGGATTCTTAACTTTGTAATCACTTACCAAACTAGATGCTTAACTCTATAATTACTTATCAAACATAGATATGCAAATTTGTACTATTTTAGTTAGCTAATTAAAGAAAAAACCAAAGAACAAAGCTCAGTCTGTTTCTTAGTCCTTAGGTACCTAGTTTAATCCAAGAACATGATAGCGTATAATCTGGATATGTATGTAGTGTGGCCATGCCTGGTGGAACAATGTATGTGTCTGAGTAGATGGTAATCCCAGAGGGAAATAGACTACCAGTCCCTCAGTAAAATGAAATTGGTGGTCCCTAGCCAGTGGGGAGAAGACGATCAATCCTTCTATGAAATTCTTGTTTCCTCAGAGAAATTCTTCAGAGGGCAGACAATGGTTCCTGGCAGAGAAGAAAACCATCAATTCCCCATGAGTGGTGACCAAAGAAAGTGAACAGACTCACTCTAACCCCAGGGTGGGCATAACAGTAGCTGACTCCCTACCACCCTCTCAAAAGCCTTCCTTAAAAGGGGAGGTTGGAGATTGAGCAGTAGTTGTCCAGTATTGCCAGATCCAAGGAGGGCCTCTTTAGATGGGGTTGTATCATAGACTCCTTCAAGGTTACAGACATCAGCCCTTCCTGGAGTGAGAGCCTGACAGTCTCCAGATCCAGCCAACCCTACACAAGAACCAGAGGGGCAGGGATCTAGCCAAAGGCCATGCCAGAGATTACCCTATTCCCTTCATCAAAGTCTTCAGGCCCAAAGGAACCCCAGCCTATGAAAAGAAGTCCTTTGGTGAATTGGAGCAAATTTGTGCAAAATAAATACAGTGTTAAGCCATAATGGTTGGTTTGTTCTTGGCGTAGCTTGAAGTGTGAACCGACTGCAGCTTGATTTTACAGTATATGCAGCCAGACTATCACAGCTTGTTCCACCAATCATGGTAAAAAAATAAAATAAATAAATTGCTTATATGAGGTTGCTACAAGAATTTTGGCACTTCTGGGAGAGAAGAAGAATCAAACAACTTAATTGTACCTTATTGTAACCGCATATTGGTGAATGCCTCAGAATTAATTAAAAATTATGAGAACAATACTAATCGTGTCTCTGTAGCCTTGGGTATTTCCACTTGGATAGTTCCTAGC